AATTTGAAATGAGTAGATTCAATTCCGAAAAGAGCCAATCTGCAATTTCTTGAGCAGAAGAACCACCACATTTTATTTGTGTTACCAAAGGAAAGGTTTTGAATGTTCTTCCTTTACACATTCTTACTAATATCACATATTTTTCTTCATCATTTTTGCTCGAGCTATCACCCGATAAAGCCATACAGTCACAGTCTATGATTTCACATAGAAATGCGGATTTTGCCAACACATTAAAATCTGTTGCTACTCTGAATGAATTACGGCTACTGATGCCGAGATAATTGATTTTGTCTAACAGACTTGGATTGTAAACTTTAAGAAAGACAAATAAATCATCACTAACTGCATTAACTTGTGACTCGAATAACCTAGCTTCAATATTTATACAAGTGATCTCGAATGCTACAATTCTTTTTTGGAACAATTCAAATGCTTCTCTTTCATACTTTGTACAATATTTCGAATGCAAGTAATAATCAAACAACACATCTATACATTCCGAAAAACGCTTTCTATTAAATCGATTTACACCGGGCGGGAAAGTAAACAATTTAATAGCCGATATTAATTTATACCAAGGCCAAGTAGTTGCTGGTAATAAACTTGTTTTTCTAAATAGTCCATCATCAAACTCGGCAGCAGAAAGATTTTGTGCCTTTTTATGTGTTTGTTTTTTGATAGTTGGGATTGGAACATCTTCTGGTTCATCAGGAACAACCGTAAACGCCGATGTTATAACAGTGGTTTCAGTTTCTAAATCTTCGTCATTGTTGCAACTAAAACTATGGATATTATGGTCATTGATAACATTGTCAACACAGACTTCTTTTTGGTCAGAATTTCTTTGAACTTGATTTAAAACCGATAATTGTGTAAATTCATTTTTTGCTGATTCTATCATAGCAATGTTTGTTCTTTTTCCTCTTATACTCATATAATTAAAAAACTTTGTTACAATATCCTTTTTGGAAAAAAATGAAGTATAATCAGGTAACGTTTTTGGATTTGCTTTATAATCACTTGTTAAATCTGATTTGAAAAACATTGAATAATTTTTCATTGCTTCTTCTTTTTCTTTTTCATTTATTAATTTCAATTGACTGGTTTCATTTTTCAACTTTGCATGATTTGCAAGTGATGTTTTTTTCATCCACGTTCCATCAAATAAACACATAACATAAGATTTATCATTAAATTCAACATGAATATATCCTTTCAAAAAAAGATTTTGATCGTAAACGAAAGAAAATTTTGGAGGAACACTCATTTTGTATGTTTTTTAAAGTTTGCTCGTTAATATAAATATTCATGTTTTTTGTTAAAAAATACCTTTTTATTTGTTAATATTTTGGAATAACATCGAATTTGCTCAATGTTTTATCAAATATTATTTTTATTTGTAACAATTTTATAAAATATAGCAAATTATATATAAAATTTGTTAAAAAAATATTGTTAATTTATATGTTAATTTTGGAAAAAATTTGTTCATTATTTAATTTTAAACAAAATAATTGAATAATACAATTTAATTATATTTTCAAAATAACTATCTCAGAAAGTAAGCTTGAAGTTTTTTAATAACTACAACTGCGTTGCTATTTTTAGGAATAACTACTATTAACGTGGGTATAAAAATGAATAAAACCCCCCTGCCCATCTCCACGAATGAGCAAAGTTGGGAGGGATCAATGATCAAGGATTTAAACTAAAGTCCTATTTTTCCAAAAGTCCCTCCATTAAAAAGGTTTAATAACTTAAATAAATAAAATGAATATCTAAATATTTTGATTATGGGAATTTTGATTAATTATATTAATAATTATTATAAAATAAATTAAAAAATATTGTATATTAATACTCCTTATTAAATTATTACATCAATGAATAAATAAGTATAAATGACAATAATTTAAAATATAATTTTAATAATTAAGTAATTTAATATTATATATATAATTTAAGTGATTGGATGTGGACTAATATTGTTAGATACCAATTTAAAAAATATAGCATATTTAAAGCAGTTTGTATTTAGCAAAAGTTTAAATAAAATTACTTTTAATTTTAGTTTTAAACAATGAAATGATATTAATATAGTTAAAATACTATAAAATGTCCCGAATCTATATTTGACGAGCAGATTGGTTTGGGGATAAGAAGAAAACAATTAATTGAGTAAGCAAGTGAAAAACTTGAAATTGTTAAAAAGTAGCAAAAAATAAGAATAAAATATAACGAAATCGAAGAGAAGTCGAGAAATTTGGCGAATGATAAAGACCTCCTTTCGGTTGAAAAGAAAGAGACTCCAGAGGGAATGTGGCCAACTCTTTAGGGCTCTTAACTCGACGAGAAACAAGACAAATGCGTGGGCTTCGAAGACGATATGTCTGGAATGAAGACTGTGTTGGAAGGTATTGACTGGCTGCTAAGACATACAAACGTGCAAAGGACGTGTATATGAAAAATTTGACTGTGAAGAAAAACAATCTTAAAGTCATGTGTTTTTCTCTTCTATTTAGGAGACGCTTGTCATCAGGCATTTGCGGCAACACGTTAAAGACTTGTTGGTGAACCCTTTGACTCATTAAATAAAACAACGTTGTATTAGCTACTTCTAAACGTCTTCGTTAATTGTTTACCCTCATCGTGTAAATAAGGGCAAATTTACAAAAAAATATGAATGACCTAATGATTGCTTGTCTGAGCCAAGACTACTTCTGCTTCTCAGAATAGCCCCGGAGACTGCAGTAACCGTTTAGGCCTGCCCAACAACTCTCTTATGTAGCTCATTCCCAATTTTCACGAGTCACGTCTTTACGCTCTGTGTCACTTATTCTGCTTACTGGGATTTCTGTCCATTTGCTTACCATATTTACAATCAGCTGTGGGGCCGCTTACTACGACATCAGTGTTTCTTTTGTCTGGTTATTCAATTTCGGGAGTAGCTTATCAGCTACTGGAAATCATAATACTTCAAGTCTGCGGCTATATCAAGGTCTCTGTTTTCTGCTTCAGTTCTTTCTCAAGTGCTATCTTCTCTACGGTCAGTTGTGTGTCTTTTCTTATCAAGTTTTTGATCTCCTCTGGCTGCGAGTTCTTCTGTGTGAAGAGTGTTGCACACGCCTCATCAACCAAATCGATTGCCTTGTCTGGCAAGAACCTTGCATTGTTGTTTTTCTTTGACAGCAACGCAGCTGCCACAAGAGACGAGCCAGTAACCATCCGTCAATAGTTGTTCTCATACTTCTCTCTGATGCCTCTCATAATGGCAGAGTATTACCGTTGTTCGTCTCAGCGACATAGATCTGCTGGAATCTCCTCTCGAAGGTAGCGTCTTTCTCAATGTACTTTCTTCAAGTGTTGTCGCTTTAATGCACAGCAACTCCCCTCTTGAAAACATTGGCTTTATTATGTTTACTTCATCCATCGCACTCTCTCCGGTTGCACCAACACTCAAGACAGTGTGAATTTCATCATTAAGCAGAATGATTGGGATCTTCGACTGTTATCACCTCCTTCAAAACAGCCTTTAGTTACACTTCAGATTGTTTTCTGTATTGAGCACAAGTAATCACAACAATATGTGTACTTATACCAAGTGCACTATCTTCGCGCCGCGTATTCCAAGGAGCATCTCCTTCGAACTTTCACTATCCGCGGCACCAAACTTTCCACGTGGCCGTCTTACCAACACAAGGCTCAAGAAACAAAGCAATGAAACAAGAAGCTGACAAAAAACCAAAGACTTAGAGCTAAAGTTATCGATATAAAAACTAACGCTATTAGTTGCTGCTATTCGATTTTCAATTGAGGGCTAAGTAGTAAACAGAATTAGAAGTAATTAAAACTTAGAAGGAAGCAGAACATAACAGCGCAACTAAATAACGAAACAAGCCAAATGGTTTACAAAAAGATTGCAGAGGCTGAGAGAAAGCTTGCAGAATTTGAATGGTTAAAAATTACATGCAAATTGAAAAGACACAAGTCTATTTGAAGAAGACAACAATCTGCCGGAGAAGGTGAATTGAGAGTTGAAGGATTAGAATGGCTTGAGATGATGAAATCACACCCAGAGCTTAAACCTTCAAGAAGAACGTTCAAATGGCCGAACAAAAGAAGGTCGAGACTATGAAAGACTATAAGGCCGCTTCAGAAGAGTTGATGAGAACAAAGACGGAACTTGACGAGAAACAAGACGAATGCGACAAACTTGAAGACGATATGTCTGAGATGAATACGGAATTGGAAGCCCTTGAACAAGCTGCAAAGACTTTTAAACAATCGAAGAATACTTATGAGAAGCAATTGACTGCGTTGAATGAGCAACTTGATTTTAGAAGAATAACTGCTAAACAGACTAAAACCAAAAAAGAAATACGCTGAGTAGCTTAGAGAAGTGATGGAGAAATAAAACGAATTTGGTGAATATAAGGAACAAGCTGAGAAATCTATCAACTCGTTGATTGCTCAAAAAGCTGATTTACAGATGGAACTTGAAAAGGAGAGAGCAGTGAAACAACAAGCCAAGAGAAATTTAAAGACTTCAATTGAAAGTTATCTATTTGAAATCTAAATTGGTGGACGCTGGTGCGACTGGAGCTTTAATCGCTAAATCGAAAGCGAAATATGAAACAGAATTGGATGTAATTAAACTAGAGAAGGAAAAAACACGAAACGCCGCTACTTAAGGTTGAGAAGCAAACCAAACAATACACCAGAGAGGTTGAAGAGGCTGAGAGAAAGCTTGTAGAATTCGAACAGAAGGAAGCTACCTCAAATAGGTAATACACAAGCCGATTTGAAAAAGACGCAACAATCAGTCAGAGACGGTGAATTGAGAGTTGAAGAAATCTGGAGAATGTCCGAACAATAAACAGCTTTACGTTGATCAATTAAGTGCTTTAAAAAACTTTGAAATGAAGTGAAACACAAAAAACGAGGATTATTAAATTATTCATTATTATAGTTTTTTATATTAAAAACTGGTTTAAATACAAGAGTCTTGTGATTTATAAAATATTGTATTTTTATTATATTTTAATGGTTTCATTATGACTAGATGCCTCAAGTCTATTAAAGATAGACTCCAAGTTAGAGTCTATTGGTAGACTCTAATAAT